AACGACGAGTATCCTTCTTCCTCTTGCCCCCCCCCCCCCCAGCCCCACTCTTACCCCCTTTTCCTTAGCGATTTGTGCATGCATGAGCTACCAATCTCAATGGTCTTCAAGCCGCCCCCCCTTCTCTGTTTCTCTCTCTGTTTTTCAATTCGGCCCCATCTTAAAGTGTACACTCATCATCATGCCACTCCCACTTCCACTCTTGCGCCCCTTTACCAGTAAGTTATTGTTGCTGCCGCCGTTCGTTGCCGTTCGAGCATTAAATTGCTTTATTATGCTTGACGTTATTATGCCCGCTGTGCAATTTGCTGCTGGTCAGTGCTCCTATCCACCTACCCACCCAATTCGGTTGTGTTGCCTATTAAAGCCCGAAACCCCCTTGCAGCCCCTGCCAATACCAACATGCCACATTGTGTTGTCCTTCAGTTGGATTGCTTTGAGTGCAAAATACAAAGAAAATACAAATAATAATACAAATAAAAAGAAAAATAAAACAGCTTCACACATTTTCATGTCATTTTCTGTCAAATTTCGTGACTTATTATTGTTTGCGGCTTTTGGCCGAATTGAAAACATTTCGATATTGTGCTGAAACTCAACTTATTGTATTCAAATATTGAGTGAGTACTGTGCACAAACTGTGCATTGTAAGTAAATTTGTTGGAGATTGGAAATTGCGTTGAATGCTGGCTGCTGCCTGCTGGCTGCTTCAAGTCGCACAAATCTTGGCTAAATCGCTGCTTAATTGAAGGTGCACACGCTGGCCCGTAAATCATTCAACGAGCATTACACAACAGATTTGCCAAACGTCAAGATGACTGACGCCAAAAGTCTCGACCAACAACCAACCCCCCGCCACCCCCCGCCCGCCACACCAGCTTGCTACCCCCTTCTTTTGCTGGCCAAGAGTGTGGAGTGTTGTCGTTCGTTGATTTTGCGTTTGAAGCTGAGATTATGCGAATGTAGAAATGCGAGAATAATGCTCAATATATCTTACGATTTGCACTCGCAATGTATTACTGGCATTAGTGCCAGCCCTCTCTCTCTCCCTCTCTCTCTCTCTCTCTCTCTATATGCATGTGTGCTTGTTTGCCTGTACATGTGTGTGTGTCTGTGTGTGTGTTGAGTCCTGCAAAGTGTGTTGCCCGCTGAGCCGTTGATGCCGCTGTGATAGCCTCCGCTGTGGGCTGCTTACTCACTCACTCCTTCTGCGTCTCTGTGCGCCTTCCCGAAGTAAACAACATAAATTGTTGTTAAAGTCAACACAGACAGGACAAACGCTACTGAATGCCCCCCATCCCCCCTTTGCTCCCACCCACCCTTCACTTACTCATCCATATACATAGGTAACACAAGAAATTCGCCATACTTTTGACGCCAAGGATTCCTCAACTTTTTGTTTGGTAAGTTAAATTCTTCAATTGAAGTTTGTAGCGCTCTAAAAACCAGGATTTGTATGTCCTAAATTCTGTTCGAATTTTACTAAAACTTGGAACAATTCTTATATTAGCTTATAATATTATTACTAAACATTATTTTTTTTTTTTTAAATTTCACATAAACAAACATTTTACATACGCTTTTAAATAAAATGTATTTAACTTTATTTGAAAAAACTCAAGATTTTCCCTAAAAATCACCCTTTGCATTAGAAATATATTTCTTAATAATAGAAAATATCTCGAAAAAGAAAAAAACTACAATACTTTAAGGATTATTGATTTATTGCAAGTCTTTCCCATTTTAAGCAGCAAAAAAAAAATATAGAAATTATTTCTGAAACCAAAAAAGACTATTTCATTTTTAGGGCTATTTGTTCAATTTGAGGTCGATTTTTTTTCCAAGTGTACACTCAGAGAACAAACATCTTTGGCCAACTACTTGTAGTTTGTGCCAGATATGAGCAAAATTAGCTGTCAAAGCATTAAGTGCTGCAAGTGTTGGTTTAACTAATGCATTCCAGCGGCAAGTGGGCTGGCTGATTGGGAATTCGATTCACAAATTCATATTTGTTAGCCAAAGGCAAATGGCATTTGCAGGCCAAAAGACTGACAAGCAATAAATCAACTGATACGAGCATAAATAAATAATTGCAAACTGTTAACTGTTTGCTTGCTAAATTGATGAATTGTATTAATCGATTGCCAGCGACGACTTATCGCCGGTGTCATATGTGAATAATTCGAGATACATTTGCTGTTTTGGATGTGCGGCAATATTTTAACGATTATCTTGAGTGCATTTGTTAATGCCCTGGAACGGTAGTGCAACTTGCAACATAATTCACAACTATGCGCATCTGCTGTCCTCTGTTAAGTCGAGGTAAGTATGGCATACACTGAACGAAATCAAGGTCAGTAGCTAAAAAGTGTCAGAGTACAGAAACCAAACCATAAGAAATGTGCTTAATGCATTTCTTACAGTCTAACTGGCATCCTCCTCTCATCCGTGCTTTGGGAACAGCAGCAGCCATGGTTAATGCCTTTGCTGCTGTCACTTTTCCCACTCTTGCACACATGGCTGTAAAGAATGGAAGCGAGAGAGACAGAGAAGGAGAGAGAGCGAGAGAGTGGGAGGGCAGATGGCGACTCAGACATCTCGATGTCATTTTAAAGTCAATAGACGCCACTTGGCGCACACAGACACATGTATGTCACCTTGCCACACAGGTTGCTTGCGTGGCAGTTTGCTGAACCAAATTGATTGATTTGCCCAACGCTGTGCGAGTGCCACGCCAATCTGTGTGAGGCAAATCTCGACTCGGTTTTAGTGTATTTTAAGCAAATGCCATAAATATTTTAGCACTGCATAACACACACGCAGAGACGCACGGGGGCATAATATAAAACTCTGACTTTCGTCTAAAGCCGTTTGGTATATTGAGTCCTTGGGTGTCGGTTGGGCTTCTGTGTGCTTTTGTTGACTCACGGCTCATTAGCCGTGAAGCCAGACACAGGCTGGGAAGGGGCAACTGGGTTGCCAACTGGGAATCCAGCTGCGAGTGCGGCGAACAGCGAGTGCGAGACGCATATGCCACACAAGCAGTGTCTTTAAACTTGTCATCTGATTAAATTAGTCACAGTTGCACTGCACTGCACAAACCTGTTGCCACAGGACAGTTGAACAGTTTGGCCACAAGCTAGCCACAAGCACAGACATACAAATATGTTTCGAGTTCTCTCTGACCAATCAGGCGGCATCAGTAACGAGTACTTGGTAACGAGTTATCCGCAGCTGCTCAACACATTACTCACTGGTCTTCCATAGCAGAATGTGTGTGTTTGTGTGTGCTTTTGCCCATGAGTGCTCTTCAAATACACAAGCAAACAAACAAACAAACAAAGAAACACATACGCATTGACTAGCCATTGCCTCTGGCAGGTCGTCTATGAAGTGCAAAATAAATACAATAAAAATCGTTAACGAGTCAAAGGAAACAACAAAACAAAACAATTAAAAATGCTCGAGTCGAGAGAGCTCGACTGGGAGAATACCCTGAAGCCAAGTCTGTTGTTTACCCGATATTGCTGAAATTCTTACAGACGATCAATATTATAGTAGCCAATAAGTATTGTGGCACTAATCGATTTTAATCTTCATCTGCAAGATCTACGATCGATTTAAAGTCTCTAATAGTTCCCAGATCTGATGGATATCATTATTGATCAATAATATATATGCACAGTAATCAAATTCCTCTGATTTTATCATTCTAAAAACCAAAGTTTTCATTACTTAATTTCAAGTCAAAGTTTTCCGAAACATAACAAATGTTTTAAATTGTACGCTGTTCTTCATTACGACACAAAGATTCTTAAATTAGTTTGCTTATTTCTTTTTTTAATACTATTTAAAAATAATGTAGACATTATTTCTGCCAAGTACCATTTTTTTTATTTATTCCAAGTTCCGTGTAGATCTCTTTAAAACTGAGGGTCCTGGCCATATCAATACGATTACGCACTTGATGACAAAATTGTAATATCCTCTGCAAGGGTATAATAAGCAACACCACAAGCAACACAATAAAACAAACAGCTTTAGATGCCAACACCACTCAGTAACAAATCATGCAAGCAATAAAAATGCGAAAGCCCGAAAACAAATAAAATATATACAACATTGGAGACCGAAGTTATTGTATAGCCTTTAAATCAAATCGAAAGTTAGAATTTAAAAACTTCAGTAAATATTGCAATTTTCGAGTACGTTGTACGCTGGTTCAAGGTCGTCGTAGATGCGGGTTCATATCATCTTCTGGTAAAATAATATAAATGAATTATGCATTACATAAAATATGTACAACAAAATAACTTACAAAGTCTTGAATAAAACTTAAATAACTTAACAGCTTGCAGTCCATCAATAATGGAGACAATTTTAATTTTGGTTGATGTGAGCAACTAAGATGAACCAACTGGAACAGCCGAATGACTGAAATTGATTAGAATTCAAGTGTTGTTGTTGCTCAACCCTTAGCCAGAAAGTCAAGTGTGTGTATATATATATATGGCAAGAATGGTAGCAAAACAAGCTGTGAATCTGATTACAAGTAAAGTGCTAAGAAAAAAATTCGATCACGTAAATTGAGTTTACACTTTAAGGAGGAGCATCTGAGGCGAACAAAGAAAACATTTGCGGCAGGGCAGCACGTAACTCGCAAAAGTGTATTTGAACAGTGCACGCTATTTGTTTAGCCCCTTGCAAAAAATAGGGATGTGTGGATGGGGGAGGGGATGGGGGATGGGGAGGTGTGAATGTGTGGATAAAGCTCAAAAAGGTAAATGCCTTGAAGTAAGCACTGTTTATCTTTATTTTGGTGTTTTTGTATTTTGTACCAACATGGCTGGCGTTTAAGCTTTTTGCGTCAGTAAATACATTTAATGTTTGACAGATATCGTGAGTAAATTAATTTATGCATTTTTACATTCAGTTTTTAAAAAACACACGTGTACAAAATGCATTTCCCTTTTACTAGAGCAAATGCATTAAATGCCGATTATTGATATATTGTTGTTGTTGTGACTGGTAATTCTATTTATATTTAGTTTGCGGATCCAGCGAGGTGATCAGTCTAATGAACCTACCGCGCTTGGCCATGATCACATCAGGCGACAATTGGGAGACACCCTCAACGCTATCGTATCGATTCACATAGTCAGCGACGTGATCGACCATGCACATGACATGAACGCCACAATCGTAGTCGTTCTTGTGCTGCAGACACCGCATGATGCGAAAGCGTGCCTGACGCATATCGACAACATCTTTAATTGTGTTGAACAGCTCCATTGCGTTTTCCGTATTGTTGCCACCATAAGAGGCAAAATGATAGAAGCACTTGTCCGACCGCGACGCAACCAGCAGCGACCAATAGACGCCCCCCTTTCGTTCCTTCGACGGGCCGTCTCCGTCATTCACCGCTATGAATATGAACGATTTGCGACAAGCGTTGCGCTCCTCAACAAGCGCCGTTTCCAACTGCAGCTTGTCCATGTACGGCAAGGATTGCGACAATTCGGGGGTGACAAACATAAAGTCACCGTTCGACTGGTACTTGATCTCATCCAGATAGGCCATATAGAAGCCAATCAGAGCATCGTTCAGAAAGTGCGGGCCATTAAGCAGCTGGGAATCGCTCAGGTGCAGCATGGCGTTCTTTAATACAACCAGAATCGGATTTGCACGCGATGCGTTCTTCATTTTCTTCTGAGCACCAGCAGCCGTTGCGGCGATACCCTGATTATCAGAAACATTACTTGCCCCATTCGCATCACAATTGTTGCCATCACCCATAGCATTCTCGTCCGGCTCGCTGTCATTGGCCTTGTTTTCCTTGCCGTACTCATCGGAAGCTGGGACAGCGACGACTTCGACCGCCTCCTCATTTGTGGAAGTCATCTTGTCAACTTTAGCATCATCGGCAGCGACTTTGCCAGCGAACAACTCGCGACGCTCGGCCCGTTTCTTCTGGCGTGTATTGCGTGGCATCTTCTTTGTTTAGTTGCAAAGCTTGATAATGGTACAATGGCTACAATGGTATTTTAATTGTTCAGTATTAAATCGAAGCAAAAGAAAGGCATACAAAATGGCCGTTCACAATGGCTGCACGCACGTGCTTTCTGCACACACGTGCTCTCTCCAATAAGCCGCGAGCCAATTAATCAAGAAATAACTTACATGATTATAATTGAATAATCGTTGTGCAGTTGAAACGGAATGTGAGCCAATCACTTCAACTGAATTTTGTTGAGCTTGAACTGATGGATGGACGGATTTGTTGTCTGATTTCTGATTTTGTGTTTTACAATTTGTAATTTTCGTTTGACAACAGACAGTGCTACCAGATCAACAGGATCTGTTACCGAGCAACAGATTTCACACTCTTAACATAACGAGTAGAAGCTTCCTCTATTAACATCAGATCGGATATTACACGATTAATCAACTGTCCGTTAACAGAGAGTGCAATTTGTGTCATGTTGTGCTACTCTTTATTCCGTGCTCCGTCACGTCTGACATTATTTGTGTAACTGATCCTTTTCAAATGACTTTTAATTGAATATCTATGTTTATATTTCAAATAATTTTAATACGAGTGCAGATTGTTGTGCTGGCAGAAGGAGATAAACTGCAAGGGCGTAGACAGATTTTTGCAAAGACGCGACTCCAATTTCATACATTTTTATCAAAGCCAACTTGCTTGTTCATTATAAAGTTTGCATGTAGGCAGTGGTGCATCAATATTGATTTGTTCGATTCTTGAGCCAGTTTGCAAATCCGTAAAAGAGTCGAAAGAGAGGAAAGTGCGCACTTCCCCGCTTGATGATAATCAGATAAGGTGGATACCCTTAACCCTGCTGTTAAACATCGATTAAAACACGGATGCCACTGTTATTTATTCAAACATGTACAGCAAACAAAAAATAAGAAAACGGTTCTGATCGAATGCGTTATATACGTGTATGTATATGCTATAGAAAGAAAATGCTTGCGTCTGGCTAACAAGATCTGCATTTATTGATTTGGTATATTATGGTTTAGTTTGGGTCTGTTTGCCGATTTATATTCAAACTAGTTGCTCAATTTTAAAGCTATATTGATGAAACTTGGACAGCAGTCGGAGCCGACTGGATCGACCGAGCCAAAACTCACAAGGTATGTGGTTAATTATGCTTTTAATATCTGGGCAAGAAATTCATCAGCATTGGACTACTTTTGTACTACTTTGTATTTTGTATTTTAACTCATTTTCTTTTCAGGCTTAATTTTTGGTGATACGCGCGCGCGGTCAGGATTTATTTAAAGGGATTTGTCGTCGTCGTTGTCGCCTTAATTTCATTTACTTGCCGGATGCGACGTGCGCATATGGAAACCCCCTTTCGCCCGCTCCATATCCCTCCCTTCCCCTCCCCCTGTCCCATAGACGGACTTTTCAATTTCGCCTATCCTCAGTGCGCGCTACTTGTCAGTAGCTGTGAAAAATAACATTAACGCTGGGCAGGATACCAGCGCGACACTCAAACAAAAAAAAAAACAATATATATATATATATATATATATATATATATATATATATATATATATATATAGACACATATTTATATGTATGTACATATAAAATGCTTATGAAGAGGCCAGCGTGTGCGTGACTCATTTGCATATAGACATACAAATACGTACATATACAGTGATGTACACGTATATATCTCCACACTCAGACAAAATACAGTTTTATATTATCACATTAAGGACAAACATTGTCAAACTGCCAGCTAAGGCCAAAATAAATTAAATTCTTATATTTAATCCTTTTTTTGCAAATGCCCAAGTTGTTCATGTACAATTTAAGTGCCATGCAGTTGCTTAGAAATGTATTTCAATGGTTCGGATTCTACACGATTTTCTTCTTTCTTTTTTTTTTTTTTTAGTGTCGGTGTGCAGTGTGAATATACACGCATATATAGATATATGTATCTGTTTGTGTATGCAATTTGGACTCATCCATGGAACCGAAAATCTTCTTATCAACTCGACATTTTCATGTGGCCATAAACGGCCTGGCTTGTGGCTGAGCTGGTCGCCAGCTCATTAAAATTAACAGCTCAGCATGACGAAAAGTGTGGGGAACGGAGCGCACGAGGCAATAGCTCTGTTTTGGGGCATGCCACACAGTCGACGCGATTTTCTTTGCAAGCAGTTGAAACTTTAATAAATCGATTCATGGCAGCCAAACTTCAACAACGAACAATCTTCATATCCCGTTCTCATACCCTGTAAATATGGTATTATAGGGTAATCTAAAATGGCGATAGCTTTTAGTGTTGTGTTTGGTTAAGATAACTTAATAAACAAACACGTTTTTCATACAAGAAGTACTCTTCGACGTAATAGTAATCCTGTCTTGATTATTGTTTAATTCAAATATAATGAACATAATAATATGCATATTGGGTAAGTTTGATTTATTGATTGAATTGAGTTAAATTGGCTTGGTTATTTTTTTAACTCAAACATTTTTTATAAAAGTCTTCATCTTTTGACATATCGCTTCTATGTCAGTTATATAATATAGTAGTTCGATGAAGATGGATTATTACCAAGTTTTGTCAAGGAAAAGTGAGGACATTTGGCGCATATCAATAAATAAAGAAAAGCGGTTAGTGTTAATGCTCAATAATATACATATGCATATACATAGTGAGTTCGTAGACGTCGCATTCAATTTGTTACATACGTCACAACAAAACTAAAATACTCTCTACAAGGGTGTAACAAGCTGCCAAAACAGTGCAAAAGCCTCCCATTTAAGTTTAATATGCGTGCAAAAAAGGTGGTAACTAGTCAAGGCGTCAAAGCGAATGCTTTACGGAGGAGAGTAAAGACGAGAGGATGAGAGGAGAGAAGAGGTGCGGAGAGGTGTGGCAAGGCTGAATACGAAAGCGCCCTGAAATCGAATAAACCAAATGCCACTTAAAATGTAATTATAACACAGAAAATGCATTGCAGTGAGGGAGACTCTGGATATGGTAGGGTAGTGTGTAGTGGGTGGGTGGTAGGGGATAGTTTGCTGTGGATTCGAGTTAAAGGGCTTATTACTGAGTTGTGGCAGTCAGTCAGCAATCAGCGTGTAATTGCCAAAAGAGTGGCAGCTGTTGCCGTGCCAACAACTGCAATGTTGAAGAGGGATCTAAGTATTCTTGTTGTGGGTTTAGGATGGGGCGGACTGGGGGGGAACATTAAGCCAATTAGAGTTGTACTTAAACGAGATACAAATGAGATTGTTTAAGATTTGGCAAGCAAAATACATTACACAAAAGTCGAGAGTCCCCGACTGATAGACACCCTGCGCCCAGTTTGTGGTGGATTGGTGAGAGCTATGCAGAAAGTGCAATATTCAAACTGATTGATTACAGTGTCTATGACTTTTAGAACAACAACCGGACAGAAAATGATGGCTTCAGCAATTACTGATGCAGAAATTCGGTTTGGCTTATTTTCATCGACGCTGTTTGCTCTATGAGTAAATAAAACAACAATTTTATGGATTGAGGCATACGTGGAAATTTGTATGCCGAATTTTACGAGAGTTTGCAATGTATGTCGTTAAAATGATGGCAAAATGTTGTAAAAATCCAAATTAAAATGTGCCCAAGAGCAAGAGCAACAAAGTAACAAGTACAAAACTGAAGCTGAAGTGTTTAAGGACGTGGCTAGAAGGTATCCTGTAAACAGAATCAACATTATTGCAGTGAGAATGTCTGTATTTACTTAATTATGTTTATATTATATTTATATTTATTTATAATATTAACTATAATACATTTCAATGCAAATTTAATATCCGAGAATATCTATATAAAATGACTATTTCATTTGAGTTATTCCCAAACTGCCAATTTGATGTACACAGAACTAATCTGACTCATTTGACTAACTGAAGTCTGCATAGACACTGAGCTCAATCAGACCGACAATGAGATGGATGATAAATCAAATTTGATCAGCTCGATTTTAAATAAGCTCTCTTTTTGTACAAATTTTCAAAATTTTACCCTACATTTGTTTTTCAAGGAGCTAAAGATATTAAAGCAAGAGCAACAACAACAACAAGAACAAAAACGATTGGCTGAAGGCTCAGCAACAAAATTGATATATTTTATTAAACGAGACAACGTGATTTTTTTTATATACGCCACGTTAAAATATGCATAACAATAAAAGCAACAACAACAATGGCAAATAATGTGCAGTAAATGCAAAAATAAAAAAATTGGGCCAACAAAATGAAATGCGCAAAAAATTGAGAGCGGTTGGGGAATGTGTGGCAATGCTGCGGCTGCTGTCCAGGCAGATAAGATTCTAATGAAAAAATCGCACACATACGCGCACACACACACACACACGCACACACACACACACGCACACACACACACACGCACACACACACACACACAGAGAGTCACGCATATGAACGTGCACATAAATGTTGTTATGTCAATGCTCTGATAAGGGAAAGTCGACGGGGCTGGAGGAACTTGGTCTCCAAATTCCTTGCCCAGATCCTTTCAAATCGAGTTTACAGTTGGTTAAAATCGGCGACAAAGGCTTAACCGGTTTTTCGTAAAGGGGTTGACTGAATTGTAATTTTTCAGAGATTTTAATCTCAGTCATATTTCATGCATTGTAATCATTCCGTCTGCGTCTATGTAAAGTTAACCTGTTGAGCGGGCAGCCGTTCCCATGCCGACCCCCGCCCCCTTTGTGTACGCCCATGGACCGCTCGAAGCGACTCGAACCGGGCTAAATATTATTTGAAATCCCACAAAGTATGAGCTGACAGTCTTTGAGCTTGAATCAATTCGAATGGTTGCTTGCCCTTTGCACATACATATGTACGTATGTATATGGGATCGAACCTAATCGAATTACGATATTTTTAAGGAGCAGTTGTCCTTATTGTGCCATGTTATTATGAAGTGCACATCTTTGGGCTGGCTAATTAAATCAGTTGCCTGCCTGCCTGACAGCCAACCAAAAGAGATCACCAACAATTATGTAATTGAAATAAAAGAGCTGACGACTTCTGACGCCGACGGGCATTATGGCACATCCAGACAGATACACACACAATCTCACACACCCTCACACACCCACACACACACACACACACACTGAAGAGCACACCTGAGCACGCTTTGATGGGTTTAATATTTTCTGTATATCCTGTGCTCACCAACTGGCTAAGTGGATTAGCAGAAAGTTGTGCTGCGAGGCCAGATGTTTTTTTATACT